AGTCGCCACGAGCCTGGTTCTCTCGCTTCAGTGATGTAGTCATACGATTGGGGTTCACCAGGTGTCATTCTGATCATACCTGCTTTATTCGACGGAATACTTCTGGACAGTGTGTCATCCTTCTGGTATATGTTGATGATATTATTATTACTGGTGATGATGTTTCTGGGACTGTGCAGGTCAAGATAAATCTTGGGAAGGCCTTCGATGTGAAGGATCTTGGATTTCTGCGATACTTTCTTGGGATTGAGGTTGCCCGTAGAAGCAGAGGTATTGTTCTTTCTCAGAGAAAGTATGTTTTGGATCTTCTTTCAGACACTGGGATGTTGGGGTGCAAACCGGCATCATCACCCATGATTCCAAACCTGAAGCTTACTGCTGAAGGTGAGGAGTTGAAAGATCCGACAGTTTATCAAAGATTGGTAGGTAGACTTATCTACTTAGCCAATACTAGGCCGGACATTTCATTCGCAGTCAGCCGAGTTAGTCAGTTCATGCATAGGCCATGTCAGCCTCATCTTGATGCAGTTTATCATATTCTTCGGTACCTCAAGTCTTGTCCTGGACTTGGGTTGTTTTATGCATCAGGATCTCAGACCGGTTCTCTAGCCTGTTATTCAGATTCAGATTATGGGGGAGCATGTGATGGTCGATCTACTACGGGTTTCTGTGCTTTTCGAGGGACTCATCTTATCTCTTGGAAGAGCAAGAAGCAGGCAGTTGTCTCCCGCTCGTCCGCAGAGGCAGAGTATCGGGCATTGGCACTTGGCACATGTGAGATTATCTGGCTACGATCGATTCTTGACGAGTTGGGTTTTTCAGTGACCTCTCCATCCACATTATATTGTGATAATCAATCTGCTATTCAGCTCGCTTCTGACTCTGTACTACATGAGAGAACGAAGCATATAGAGATCGATGTTCACTTTCTTCGGGAGAAGGTCAGCAGTGGTCTTGTTACTCCATCGTTTGTGGGGACCAGTGATCAAGTTGCGGATGTTTTTACCAAACCTGTCACTCTGTCTATTCTTCGGGACTCTGTTGTCAAGCTTGGCTTAGTAGACATTTTTGCGCCTAGCTTGAGGGGGAGTGTTGGAGTATAGATAGTCTAGTTTATTAGGATTTCTTTTCCTTTTTTTACCCTTACTATGATTTTTATCTTTTGTCTAAACTACAAGGATGTTTAAGTCACTCTGTATTATTTTTGGATATATATACGGGGCTCTACTCTTAATTTGAGTATCCCTTTTCACTTACGTTTATTCCAAGTATAGGAACCCCAACCTTTAACTTCTTTCCACTTGTGGGCATTTCCCAACCTTTTGGGACTACACTAATTTCTCCTGGCCAAATGATTGCTTTGAGATCATCGGCATTAGCTGTGTACACAACCCTACCATTTGTCTTAGCTTGATCAGAAATGCCATGTTTTTCAGTCCAAAACCCAATCCTCCTCCCCCCATAATTTCCCATTACATTCACTATTTCGTAGGCCGATGGCTGTAATTGTCCATCAACAATATGGAAATCACCACTTAATCCTTTGAATCTGATATTCCTGATAGACTCTACTAGTTTTGGTCCCCATTCTGAGGTTCCAATAGCTGCTAAGTCTGTCGTATTCTCTCTAGTGGCTGGTTGTTGCTTGAATCGTAGGGGAGCACTACTGGTTCTCTCTATTGCCATTGCTAATGCCGTAACACTGTCATACGCCCATATCCCATACACATCTAGCTCAATTTCATCCATGTCTGGGTTCTCTTGGCGAAATCTCCTCTTCCATCTCCGAGTGAAGTTGTTGAGCTCGTCGGATCTTGGAATATTAGGCTTCACCCCTAGAACTCCTTGCATAGAGTTTATAAACGTAGAATCTGTAGAATCCAATAGGCTTGCAAGAACATCTGTGATGATCCAGGCATATCCCTTGCTAATATTCCAACTTCTTTCGCCTTTAGAAAAAAGCGCGAGGTAGTAGAGGGTAACATATGCACCACAAACACCCTAGTCTGCATGGTCATTAACTGGTAGAGTTCTTGAAGGATTTGATCATCCAAAGCAGAAGGAGATACAATGCTGCGATAAGGAACCCGGGCATTGACCTCTATAAGGGCATCAGTTAGATAAGGAATTGTCCCACTTCCAAAGGTGCTGTCTTCATAGACTAACACTACCTCCCTCCAATTGAAGGCTTTAACAATGGCTGCAATTGCTTTAACCTGAAAGGATGAACACTGTGCTGTTCGGATGAAGTAGGGACTTTTATTGGGTGAGAGAGCAGGACTTGTTGCGGTAGAAACTATAGGAACCTCAGATTGTTCGCAATATCTATGACAAAATCTGCTTGGGTCGATGCTTGCGGTCCAAATATTGCATGTACTTGGACATTTTTCAAAAGGTCTATTGCTGCATAGAAGTTTGACAAATCCTTAGATTGCCATAATCCAATTTCTCTGCATAGTCAAGTTCTAACTAATGTAGTACAAGAAATCCCATTAAATTGTTCCGGAATTATAACCTTTTCATATTTGAAAGATTTCTGGAAGAAACTTTTATCAATGTGCGTGCTGGATCTTGCACAATATAAACACGAGAATAGATCTCTTCCTTGGTGAACTCGAGTGAGTCAGTTAAGTGGTCAATCCTGCTGCTTGAAACAGCCTGTGAGATCCGGTAGTAACCAGGAATGGTAATGGGAGACCCTCATGGATCAATGGAACGATCCAATAAGGCTGAGGAAGGTTCCTGGAACAAAGAAAAACAAGTTAGAAGGGTGCCAGAGTGTTTTCCGGCGTATCCCCTCTGACGATCTAGTCAGTCTTTGAGAAAGAGAGAGGAAGGAGAAAACACTGATTATATTTTATAGCAAAGGTTTTTTGTTGCATACCGTCTTGCCTTTTGCGAGGAGTATTTATACTTCAAAAACTCATGATTGCTGTCAGTGTGGTCAGCAGGTGATCATTAGGCACAGGCAACGTGTGCACGGTTTCCTATGAGGAATGTCTTCTCTTTTAACTGTTCGGGATCCCGAGCAACCAAGGTTGTGTCAACGGCCGGCCGACTGTTCAATGAGCTCCTCTTGGGGAGGATGTAATAAATGTCCAGCCTTAGAGACATTTATTGTCTTTCACTTCTGAGCCTTACCGCATTAAATGCAGTCTCATCAAGGGAATTGTGTAATTAAATGCTTGTTTTCCCAAGTCGTGTGTCAGCAATGGCATCTGGTCTTTCTGTCTCTGATGTGACACAATATGCCACGCGTCCATTCCCCATTGGCTGTGTCCCCTGTCTTCCTGTGCCTTCTGACACCAATTGTGTAAGACGAGGTCATGATAGCTAACCTAGCCTAGCCTAGGCTAGTGACCTGTACATTAATAACCTCTGCAGGAGCAGAGAACGCCATCCTGGACGGAGGTACATCTTGGTACCGAGGGGGATTGGTACATCTCAGAGCTGAGAGGGGAGGTACATATAGCGACCGATGTACCCATATCAGACCAAAGGATACGTATCGGTACGTAAATGTACTGGATGCCACTTGATTTCTATGACAAGTACCTCAGGGGAGAGGGACTTGTGAACCGATGGGTACGTGATCTCAGTAACAAGGATTTAGTGACACCGAGGACACGTGTCTTCATCTTGGAGTATTTCAGAAAATGCCCCATCAACTGCCCCCCAGCCTTCGATCTTCTGACACCGAGGACACGCGTCGTAAGGAGACAAAGGGTTTTACAACAACCCCAACTGCTTCATCATTGCCTGTAGCTGTTTTCCTCTGCTTAGGACATCGTGCGCATTAAATGCTCCTTTTCGTGCTTCGCGCCCAATGATGAGATTGGTACTATATATAAATGGGCTTCCTCTCCTCTTTTCTCATTTCATCATTCCAAACTTTCTCCAGAGAACTCTTGCCTGAATCTTTGCCGGAGATCTCTTTCCTTTCGTTTTCAACTGCCCAACCTTTTCACTGAAGTCTTAAGACCAGCAGACCCATCCTTGCTTCTGAACATTCTAGAAGGAGTCGCTTCAAGTTTTCCAGAAAAAAAACTCCTTTTTACATTCTGGTGAGTCCCAGTATCTTTCCTCTCTTCGTCCTTCTGTCTCTTTTGGTTTTCCGATAATTGGAGGTGTCCCCGGTTGCCACTCAGTGACCAATCCTCGGGAAGCCTCCTTGGAGATCTTTGAGGGAAAAACACCCTCCTTCACTTTTTATCACTTTTTGGAGATGCCTCGTCGTGGCCCTGCCCCCGAGAATCCTCAGGCTAGTTCTTCGGGGTCAAGGAAGTATAAAGTAAAGGGTGGTGAGCAAATTAATAGATTTAGGGTTAAGTACATCATCCCCCCGTATGTAGACATAGAGGATTATAACCCGACTGTGCACCCTTGTACCCTCGGTATCGAGGATGCAATGCCCTTTTATACCAAAGCCATCATAGAAGGTGGCATTAGGTTCCCTTTGCCCCCTTTACTTCTCCAGTTCCTCTCCCATTTTCATCTCTTCCCCGGCCAGTGTTGCCTTAATGTCTTCAGGATAATTATGGGGGTCCTAGAGCTCAATAGGCGTCTCGGGGTAAATGTTGGGCTGAACGATATCATTTTTTTCTATTCCCTCTTGAGAGTCATGCCTCAACAACACTTCTACCTCAAAGCTAGGGACTCATCCATGTACCTCGTAACTCATCTTCCCGACTCGGACGAGGGGTACAAGGATGACCTAGTCATCTTCAAGGGATCTTGGCAGAGGGGTGCCGGTCCCGAGTACAACGGCTTGTTATGCCCTTTGGAATGGAGAACGACAAGTACGTCAGCTTCTTCGGGTCTATTGTTTTGCTCTTGAGATTTTTTTTAGCAGTCCATAACTCACTCCCCTCTCTTTTTGTTTGTGCAGACATCTCCCCTCGGGAAATAACTCCTCCACCTCGGTCCTTGGTGAACTTTGCCGACCTAGTCACTGTTTGGAGATTTACTGGTGACGACGGGTTCAATCGGGCTGCCCACATCCTCTTTTATTATACTTCTGGATATAAAAAGTTTTCACAGCTTCCCCAGCCTTTCGAGCCTTCGCGGTAGTCTGAACTCTTAGATCAGGCGGTGGGGCAAGAGGGCGAAGAGAATTTGGAGGAAGATCCTGACCGGGCTTCGGAGGCAGAAGTAGAGGGTGAAGTTGAAGAGCTCGGGGTCAGAGAGGACTTGGTTCCTTCGCACGTCGAGGTGGGGACTTCGGGGAGAGATTCATGGCCGGACTTCCAAATCCTACAATCTCTAGATGCCGAGGACGCCCTCGAGATAGCTATGTCCAGCACGCCCCGCATTGATCTAGGGTTCCTGAGGCAGAGGCAAGCCCTTGCTTCCGGGAGGGGACGAGGATCGACCGGTGGGGCCTCATTTGCAGGGACCAGCGCCACCCTCATCCTCAAGAGTCGTCATTCGGGGTCAAATGCATGACCGGGATTCTCAGGTAAAGGAGGAGAGGATGGTCAAACATAGGCACAACGGCCTTGGCAGGGGATCCAGGGCCCCCTCCGCTCAGCAGCAAAGTGGGAGAGGCCGTGGGTTAGCTCCCGCTCCTCAGCAACAACAGCAACAGCGGCAACAACAACAGACTCCTCCTCCCCTTTCGCAGACAGTGGAAGCCGCAGAGTGGAATCCTCGAGCCACTGATCACATGAATCGAGTGATCAGGGTTGACGACTCTATTTTGCAGGACCCCCATGTCGCCAATGCAGTGAGTGAGATGCTGCATTTCGAGGCCGACTTGGTGGCTTACAGGGGGCGATCAACGAACGTATTGTTTCACTCTATCATACAGAATTCCCTGGTGGTAAGTTCATCTTTGCTTCTGTCTTTTTTAGCCACTTTTCTTTTTAGTGACATGCCCTTTCCTGTGCAGGCCACCCAATAGATTTCTATAATAGCGGCGCAGTATCATGGGGTTAGGATGGACCTTCAGCGGGTTCGAGAGCAGAAGGAAGAAGCCGAGGGAGCTCTCGCCAGTGCTAAGGAGGACGTAGCTGCCAGGGATTCCACCCTTGTGGGGCAGGCTGCTCAAATCGAGCAACTTCTCAAGGATGCCGAGTTGGCGAAGGTCGGCGCTGAAAAGCTAAGTGCTACCCTTGCCGACGCTGAAAGGAGGATTACAGAGCAGACGCAGCGGCTCTCTGCGGCAGAGGAAAGGGCTGTTGGTTCAGAGGAAAGCTGTCTGGCTCTGACCCAGGAGCTGGATAGGATCAGGGCTGAGGCACAGAACATGAAGTCCGAGGAGCAACTCCGAGAAGAGTTCGTCAATGACGTGCTCCCCGCTCTTGAGGAAAATAGCAAGGAGTTTTTCAAGAAGGGGTGGGATGAGGCGCTCCAGTCTGCTGGGATCCCATCAGACTCCCCGCTCTTCCAGATGCACAAGTACGTGCCCTCGGCGGAGATGGAACAGGCCAAAGCCGAGATTGCTGCCGAGGGCGTGATTCCAACGCCGGTGCAAGTTTCGGCTGATCCGCCTGAGGCGGTAATTGTGGATTTGTCTGATGAGGCCCTGCCGGACCGGACCCCTGACCATAATATTCCTCAGGCTCTCTCTGTTGCCGAAGTATCTTCCACTCTGCCTGCTCCCGAAGATGCTCAACCTTTTTACGCTGATTCGCCCTCGAGCGATGTTTTGGAGATGCCCGGGGCCAGATGAAAGCTCTTTTCTTTTCGATTGTACTTTTTTTTCTTGTAGCTCTTAGGGACGCAAAACCTCTCTTTTTGAAATAAAGCCTTTTTGGAGTACTTATACTTTCTTGCGTACATTTTTTTTTTGCGTAGGAGTCCTTGAACTCTGTCCTCAGGGCCTTGCCCTTTCAAGAGGCTTGCCCCTGTGTGTGCTTTGGGGGCAGGAGTCCTTGAACTCTGTCCCCAAGGCCTTACCCTTCCAGGAGGCTTGCTCCTGTGTTTGTTTCGGGGGCAAGAGTCCATGAACTCTGTCCCCAGGGCCTTATCCTTCTAGAAGGCTTGCTCCTGTGTTTGTTTTGGGGGTAGGAGTCCTTGAACTCTGTCCTCGAACTCTGTCCTCAGGGCCTTGCCCTTCCAGGAGGCTTGCTCCTATGTGTGCTTCGGGGGCAAGAGTCCTTGAACTCTGTCTCCAGGGCCTTGCCCTTCCAGGAGGCTTGCTCCTCTGTGTGCTTTGGGGCAGGAATCCTTGAACTTTGTCCCCAGGGTCTTACCCTTTAACTTTGTCGTTGGTGAGCACTGAAGGAGATAATACTCAAAAATAGTATTTCTTTAGATTCATAACATTCCATGGTCGCATTACAAGTTTTCCATCCATATCTTCTAATCTATATGACCCGGCGCCTCCGATAGATATCACTTTGTAAGGCCTTTCCCAGTTAGGTCCCATTTTTTCTTCTGTTGGGTCACGGGTATTGGTC